GTACAGGGGAGGTTCGCGAAGCACATCACCACAACTGATGAAAGCGTTTGAGTTTAGGCTTGGTTTTGGCAATCAATTATCATCTCATCTAAGCATCACAAAGCATCAAGAGTGCTAGAAGCCATTGTTCTGCTCCAAATGCATACTAGGCGTCTGTGCAGTTTTAGCATGATATTACTTAGAACAGGTTCTGAAAAACTGAGATCTCAATTTGATCTTACAAAATGGTGTCATTAATTTTGTACGAAAATTGGCAAACTAAATTTAGCACAAAGTTTCGTATCGTGACAGACGACTTTAAGCCTAGGGATTGTGATATTTAGTCTAACCAAGGTTGATGACCATAGTATATTCAGTGAAAGTCAAACACCAACTTGACTTTCATCAGGAGATTAAGCAGAGCTGACATTGTTTCGTTGGTCGTTACCGGCATTGATGCGACTCTGTCCGAGTCTCGACTCCCAAAAAAAAAACTTCGAAACGCATCAAAGCGAATAAACTTCGGACTAATTGGTTTTCTCGGCGTGTCTGTGAGGCGAACCGGGCACGGTGACTGTTGCTGACAAGCACCACTCCCACAATACCCGCTCGTAATCGTAAAGAGTCGCTCGCTGAGAACCGAGCAGAAAAGGTAATGAAGCCGTCCGGTTTTTGCTTGCAGCTACCGGCTTTTGTGATGACGACTGGGGGATTTACGTCAACAGTAGTGGTATGTGCAACAGAGGAGGCTTACGTGCGGATTCTACAAACAGTGAGCTTCAATGTCGATATGTTAGCCGACGGATAAAGGACAGGTTTTCGGAGGAAGTTGCGTCTGGTAGAGCAGAAAGGGCCACTTCACATAATTTGATAGTATAGTTTAGTTAAGTATTGGGTTGTTATTTATAACTAGTTAATGCTTAAATAAATTTCTTCATTAAAAAAAAAAATCCGATAAATCTTTTATGCCTAAACTTTTAGGACATTATGTTATGTGTGGATGCAACTTCATCTCTTTTAACCAGGATCAAGCACAAAATAAGTTTGCATTGTGATGTCATCTTTTGTTCATGCAAAAGCTTTTTGGACGTGTTCTATAATATCAATTCTATCCTATGGTGAATGTCAAATGATCAGTGCTTATACCGTGAATGTCAGTGGATGTCTACCTTATCTCATACATCAATCATTACTTACGTTCTGTCACATTCCATGATAAATACTGACGGATCAGAATAAATAATGATTACACTGGTGAATAAGGTTAAAATAATTTTTTGTGACATGGACAAAACGAGGTGGTTATTATGTAAAACGTACCCAAAAAGCCGGAAACAGCATTCAATTTTTTCTATCACAAATTTGCAGTAACTAATTTAAAAGCATTCCAAGCTCGTAATTCAGTTTCATTTAGAGCACTGTCAAATACATCATCCTTCATGATTTTCCGTAAATGTGGACCCACAAATATGCCCTCTTTAATTTTTGCCTCAATAAGTTTCGGAAATATTTGTTTTAAATGCAAAAAACCTCTTCCATTCCGATCCATAGCTTTCACAAAAATTTTCATCAGTCAGAACTTGATATGCAAAGGTGGGAGCAACACGTTTTTGGGATCAACTAGTGGTTCATGAGCAATGTTTTTGAGGCCCGGAGTGGCCACTCCTTCTGTTCATAATGAAAATCTCGCGCACGGCTCTCCCATTCACAAAGAAAACAACAATATTTGGTATATCCCAGTTGCATTCCAAGAAGAAGGGCTATTACCTTTAAATCTGCACACATCGCCAATCCATATTCATTATGACGCATATGCTCTAACAGAACTTTCATATTTTCATATGATTTCTTCATATGAACTGAGTGCGCTATAGGTACAGATAAATATTTATTACCATTGTGAACCAATACCGCTTTTAAACTAAGCTTAGACGAATCAATGGACAGGCGCCAATAATTTGGATCATGTTTCTGCCCTAACGCGTCAAAAAAATTGTTGACATCGGAGCAATATATCATCACCCTGTGTAATCAAATGTGGCGCTGTTGAACATCCTGGCAGGTCCATAGAAGGATCGGAAATTTTTACGCTTTCCGTACCATCACTTTCAGAATCGGTTTATTCGGATTTTTTATCCAAAGACCTCGATTCTGGTGGAACTGCGGTAGAAAGTTCATTACTATGCTTAGCGGGCCGCAAAGCTGATGGTCAATTAAAATACTTAACAACATGTTTCGATTTTGGTACAATACCTTTAATATTTGTAAGGCAAAGATAGCAATCAGTAGTATGGCATCTGTTCTCTCCAAACCGTTGGTACCGCAAAGGATATTTTACGATTGACGCCTCTTTACCAACCAGTTAACAACGTTACACAAGTCTTACAACATACATGAGGGGCCCATAGTTCATCTTGGTCGCCAAATTCAATTCCAAAATAAAGTTCGTATGCTTTCAACACAAGGGGAGTAAAAGTACGTTTTTGGGATTTAAAAGTTAGCTCTCCACTCACATAACAAAAACTGTTCGCAATATTTACACAATTTCTAGGCATTGTCCATAAAGCTAGTCTCGATCACAATAAACTAAAAACAACACACCGTTTTAACAAAATTTAACAGTTCTCAGAACATCTCAGTACTCGTCAATACAGAAAACGTAACTGACTGCTGCTATTAGTTTACTAATAAAGGCAATATGCTCTAAACATAGAGCTCGCGTATAATAAACATCAATAGACAGGTCTTAACATTATATATGTGCGCCACCGCATAAACGCCGAGAAATGCAGCAATATGAGATGTTACGTATTTTAGTTCATAAAAGTAGATGTTACCGTACATCTGTGGGTGATAGAAAAATTCTGTTTTTAGATTTCATTTAAGGGTTTCAAAATACGTAAGATACACCTAAAAATTGTCATGACACAAATCCTGTGTTTATCAGTGTTATGTGACAGTCGCCCAAAGAAAGGAGGTCATTATTTTAGTATTATATATTCACCAGGGAGAACAATACGAAAAATAACAATTTCGATTTTAAATCAGAGAAGAATATAACAGCAGTTATGTGTGATAGTATATGCAGGAGTCACGCTCTGTAATCGCACATACGCAAACGCGCACAAATCTTGTGTTTACCTTTGACTGCGTTACCTGCCTAACGAGCGTTCAGCATTAGCGCTATACGTGTCTAACGGAGTTATAATTAGCACTGATGATTCCTCTGTGACGTAACCTCGACCAGGGCGCGAAGCACCTGCCGCAGAAGTTGCGAAGGCTTTGCTCCCTAGGCATGTATTAAACCTCTTGGATCCTACTGAGCGCAAGTTTGAGAAGAGTGGCGTCTCGACGTGATGCGTCAAACTTACAACAAAAGGGCTGCTCAGATAATCGACCGAGATGGTCTGGGCGAACGAAAAGGGTTTTAGAGTACGTAAATAGCTTACATGCTTGGGTTAGTTACATCAGGTTTTTTTTGGCAGGTTGTAAGTTTAGTGCCAGCAACAACTAGTAAAACAAGTTCTACAATATCTACGACATCGTATGTCCTTAAAAAATCGGAAAAGTCCTGAGTTCGACGAGCATTTGAAAATTGTAGCCCAGAACCACTCACTTACCTAATCAAAAAATGCTTTAAATCCAGCATATATCCCTCAATTTTCAAAAAAAGCTAATGTGATACCGATACATGAACCAGGAAAAAACTAGGATGGTTCCAAAACCTAGATTTTTAAGTACAAATCAGTATGGATTTACAGAAGGACGCCATAATCAAAATTGGAAATCAAATATATAAAAGTTCTAATAACAAAATTCCTTCTATCTGCATTTTTGTTGACTTAAGGAAAGCTTTCGGAACAGTCAGTCACAATTTATGATTAGAAGTATTGGAGAGAATTGGTTTTAAAGGAAAATAATACTCGACAATTATCGATCAAATCTCCCACAATCTGTCCAGATATCTAGATCATTTTCTCCAATTAATTGAATATTTAGAGATGAACAATTCACTTCCTGTTCATCAGTCTGGATTTCGTGCTGGACACAGTACAACTTCTTCACTTCTCCATTTGACAGACAATATCTTAAATAATATGGATAAACATATTAGTACAGTTTTAGTTATGGTCGACTTCTCTAAGGCGTTCGACACTGTTAACCATAAAATTTTGTTGAGTAAGTTAAAGTATATTGGACTTTTTGACATGCCGCTTAATTTTTTTTAAAATTGCTTAACTAATCGTAAACAAAAGGTGAAGACAATTAGAGGTGTCTCATCTTCTGTTGCCGTTTCTTCAAGAGTCCCTCAGGGTTCTGTTTTATGTCCTTTACTGCATTTGATATATACTTTTGATTTACATTCATGTATTGAGCATTGTACTATACAAACTTACGCGGATGATACGCAGCATTCTTTTCATTTTGACTGGTCTCATCTGGATGAAGTGTCATATAAGATTAATTGTGATCTTGCCAACATCACTGATTCTTGTAAAAGACACATGTTGAAGATTAATCCGGATAAGAGTACTTGCATACTTTTTTATCCTAAACATTTGCATAATAGAGTAAGGGACAGAATTGCGTTGAGCATCAACAACGAGCTCATTCCTATTGTGGAACAAGCAAAAAATCTTGGTGTCATCTTCGACACTAGTTCAAGATTTGACAAACATGTGTGTTATCTATCGAAGTCTACCTACATCAAATTAAGACTGCTATATCGATACGTATTTGCCAAAGTAACGTAAGTCACCAAAAACGATTTCGTAGAAAAAACGTGTTTTTAATTTAACCTGGTTAAACTTTTTTAAATTGTGCAAAATTTACCAGAGTGTTTCTCTGAGGTCTATATTTAATTCATAAAAATGATTTTTGAAGTTTTTCTATAGTTTTAGTGGTTAATTGATACTTACGTTACTTTACGGGTTCAAAAATGTAACGTAAGTACACAGATACGTCAGTTTGGCGGCAAATTGTAGCACTTAAAGTATTTTGTAAAGAATTAAAAACTATATTTTATTATTGAAAAAAACACAAAATAACGTTACAAAAGAAAATATGAAATAATTACTAGTAAAAAATATATATTTTTTTAAGTTTTGGAGCTTTCATCTTCATCGTCATCCTCTGCATCAGTTTCTGCTAACTCATCTGGAAGAGAAGACTTACATTTTAATTTAAAGAATTCATCGTGAAACCTGGCAGGTATGACATTGTTTTTGCAAAGTTTTTCCAAATCCCTTTTCTTCATTTCGGATATTGGAAGAAATACTTCAGGATAACTTACAAATATGTATTCATTTTTTATATTTGTAGTTCATTAACAGTTTTCTGTATTTAATAAAGTCTTAATAACACGGGAATTCCCTATACAGGGTGTCACTAAATTAGTATTCAAAATTTTAACCACAAACAGAACATTAAAAAATATGTAGATGAAAAATTTGCGATAAACATGGGTCCGGAAACGTTTCATTTCCGAGATACATTGTGTTGAAAATACGTTAAAAATCAGTTTTTTTTCTTATAATTCAGACAAAATGTTTTCGAAAATTTTTAAACTTTGTCGTTTCTCTTATTTCGGTGGTACCCATTATGAGAAGGAAAAAATCTTAATTATCTAACCAGTGGCGTAGTTACTTAATACGTTGAAAAGTAAGATAGCCTAATTTTTTCGCCAATGCATTTTTTATAATGTTAATAATCCATTATTATTGCTCACTTTATTGAGAAAAAAGAGGACTGTGTCAAGATTTTGGAAAAATCAACCGTTTCTTTGTTTAAAAAAAAACAAAAACCATATTAGTACTAAGTAATATTGAATGAAAAATATGATTTGTCTTAACTACAAGTTTTTGTCTAAAAAAATAGTAGGATATGCTGATTGTTGATTGCTAATGGCATTAAAAATATTGACAGAAAAAAAAATCGAAAATACTTCTAATTCTAACTATAAAAAAATGTCGTTATTATTTACTTACCTAAAATCAATAATTAGTCGATGGTAGCACGAACCTAACACTGTCGTAAGCCAAACAGTGACTGCGAAAATCTGACGTAAGTCGCAGAAACCGACGGAGACTTACGTTATTATGGCGGTAAAAAACGTTAGCTTGCATTACTATGATGGAAATAGTGTTAAAGTTACGTTCCTTCTGCGGATATGATTTAAAAAATTCTGGACATACGTTTTCAAAAAAAGTTAACAGCAAAGGTTTAAAGTAAAATCTAGGCTTCCTACACTTTGGCAGTACCTTCTCAACAATAAAAGCCTTACGTTAATGGAAAAACATGATTTTCATCAAAAATGTCACTTACGTTACTTTGGCGAAAATGCATCGATATGCTAATAGATTCATTTTGAACTTTAAAACGGGTAAGAAGCTAGTATAAAGTTTGATAATGTCCAGCCTCAACTACGCTTTAACTTTATACTATCCTTGTCTTGACTCGATGAATCGGTGTAGGATCCAAAGAATGCAAAACAATTGCTGTAGGTTTGTGTATGGTGTTCGAAAATATAGTCATGTCTCTGGCTGAAAATTGATCAACAATTTGAATATAGTCTCAAGGTATTTGTGCGTAAGATATTGTGTACCAAAAAGCCCATCTACCTCCATAATAAATTGGTAACTAGAGGAATCATTAATCTTAGAGACCTGAGGCATAATAATAATCGGACAATGCCTTTGCACTACACCGCATTATTTCAAAAATGTTTCACTTTCAACGCTGTGAGGTTGTACAACTCAACCGACCCTGCCTGGAGAAGCAAAAGTGTAGTATCATTCAGGAAGCTGGTTAAAAATCAGCTGTTAGATGTATTATAATTAGTTGTTAGTATCTTTATGTTTTTTTGTGTGTTATCATCCGTTCTATATTGGTTCTTGACTGTTTCCTATTTGGCAAACCAATATAGCGCGGATTTATCAATTGTTTGTGTTTTTTCCCTTTATTATTAGTTCTCTTAGTTGAAAGCCAGATCGATGTATTTATTTTTATTTTGGATGTATTACGTTGAATTGTATATACATATTTAAGCACACAATAGGGTTGGGTGTACGATTAGCCAACTGGCTAGACTTCGCTCTATTGTTGTGTTGCTAATAAAGACATTTATTATTATTATTTAGCAAGGGAATGTTTAATAGGGCGAGTGTCCCACAAGGAACAGTCTTAAGTCCAATATATTCAATATATATTTAAACGATATTTTCCAAATTAATTGTCTTCAGGATGATGCTCCTAGCCACATCTTCTGTATTGGTATGGCTGCTTTGCATCAAACGGACATCTGCCGTAGAGAATTCGTTTGCAGAAGCCGAGTACATTTTTTTGTCGTCAGGTTAAAGCACTACCTAAACAAGCATGTGGATGTTAGTAAGAATTCTGTCAAAAATTAAAAAATTCAAATTGTAGTGAGTTAGGATTCAGCCTTCAGCGCTTCAATAGCTCCTCCTGAGAAGAAGTCATGCGAAAAGACAAGCTTTCGCTCACATGAAAGTTTCTAACCCTCAACCGACTCTTGAGATTGCTGCAAATAAAGTCAAGACTGCAAATAAATGTATAAGTGAATGAAAGTCATTTGCAATAATTGTTGGTGAGGTATCTTGTGTGTCTTGAAACTAGATATCAGATAGGGTTATGAGCGAGGACTATTTTAAGCCTTCACAGACGGTCGTTTTCAGCAACTATCATGCTTAATAGCTCAAATATTTTAAACAACATGTAAATGGTCAAAATATTAATTACTAACAAAACTAAAACTATTACAATGACGAGACGTTGATGATTTATATTAATCATGCTGCTTTCATCATGCCAAATAACCTTGTACAGCTTTTCTTGCTTGTTGGAAATCATCAGCACGATCTAGGTGGGACAACGTACAGAAAGTCTATATATAGTCAACGCCAAACAAAGTGGCGTGCACGTCATCAAGGTGGGTGTGTTGAAAAATTTACATTGTTGCCAAACTTTTTGTAAAATAATAAAATTTATTATTTACATATCTAGGTTTATAAGCAATATTAACCTCAAATGAGAACTAAAATAATAGTATAATAAAATTATAGATCTGTACTTGCATAATCATTAAGTATGACAATTATTGATCAGATGACACTATGAAACTACCATATTTAATTGATAGCTTAAAGGTACTGAATAAAAATCCAAATGGGGTCCTCCAAATTTTATGCATGGTATTTATTTTACAGAATTCATACAGAAAAATGCATTCTAAAATTAGGTAAGCTACTGGTGTAAGCTTTTTCTGTACAATAAAGTTAGTCGGAGTTTCTTTCTTCAGCGCTGTCTGAATCTGAATCTTCATCACTCTCAAAGTTGATTATTAAAGGTTCGATGTCTGGTCGATCAAAAATTCGTTCTCTTTCATACCATTTAAAAATTTCTTGCTCAGTATGTCGAACGCTATTTTTCCACATGTCTGGGGTAACCGTTTGTAGAGCCTCGTTCCACATATCCAAACAGTCTTTTTCACTGTTACCATCTCTACCATATGTCTGTTATAGTAACCTCTTGCTATGCCCCAAATTAACTCAATAGGGTTAAATATACAATGGTAAGGAGGCAGTCGAAGAACTTTGTGCCCATGTTGCTCCGCCAATTCATCAATCACGTATATTTTAGGTGGTTTGTTTCTAAAAAAGCAGTTATTTTAAGAATAGGAATAAACAAAAGAAATATAAACTGTCGACCAAAATATATATATATATGTAATTAAGAAGCATTATGTACCGAGCAACAATACTCAATAGCTCTGTTTTAAACATTGTGTTTAAAAATGGTATGTTTTGATTTGTCAACCAGTCTTGGATATCTTTTTTTGCCCATGCATTGTTGGGCACTTTGTTCAATATCATGCTGTGATAAGGGGCGTTATCCAGTATAATCATAGATGGACTCTCCAATTTTTCTAATAACTGATGTTGAAACCATTTCGAAAAATTGTCCTGGTTCATCTCTCCATGGTAATCGCTCAATTTTGTTTTCGAAGAAAATATCGCTTCACTACCCTCAATAAACCCATTTTTATTTCCAGCATGTAATATAATGTATCTAAAATATATTAGTTTTAAATTTTATAGTGCAAATTGTGTAAAAGTACATACCTTTTACCATCTGTTTTAATAGCTTTCACGCTTTTTTGGTTTCCATTTTGCCAAGAGCGACCTATGGTCCCATTTTGAAATATCCAAGTTTCATCGAGGAAGACAAACTGGTATAAGGCCTCAACCTTGGCTTGATTGTATTGCCTTAGAAATTCCACCCTTTTCAAAGCTATACTTGGTAGTTCCATGAGCCCCCGTCGCGGATTGTCCTTAAGCCACTTAAATCCAAGATCTCTAAGCAACCGCCTTAAAGACGTGGCACTACCATCAAATAATGCCCTATCTCTTAATCGAGACCATAAAGTTTGTATCGTAACTTGTTCTTCTGAAACCATGTGTAATATGACATTATAATTTAGTTAACAAATTAATGCAAATTTCTGATAAGTTATTATAATAAGATCTTACTTTTGTGATACATATTATAGATCACTTCTCGAATGGCACTTGTATCCAATGTCGCTGTGTTGGTTACACGTTTAATATAACTCCGCTTTTTCTTGGGCGATTCTAAATTTGCATCACTTTTCACACCCTCGGAAATACGACTAACTGTCCTTAAACTAATTTTTAAAGCAGCAGCAACACGCTACAAAAAATGAAATAAAATTTCACTATTATTAATATACATTACATATAATTATTAGTAACCTACCTCTTGAACAGCATTTAAAGGCAACAAAGGCCCGTTGTTGTCCCTTTCTTGCTCCAAGTAGTGCATTAACGAGGCCACGAGTTCCTTACACCGACTATTTAACTGTTTGGGCATCTTTATATACCAAAATTGCCTTTATCTACTCGTAAAATGAATAATTTTGTTTTGAAACAAACAGTTGTTGATTTACTGTATGCGGGGCCAAAGGATTTATAAAGATTTGAAATGCCACAAATTGATTCAGTGTCAAAATTAATACAAATGTCAGTTCCCAGTTTAAATAAGTTTCAAGGTGACAATGTGTCAACGCTGCGAAATCGGTTTAGTGCGTTTACATGTCGATAAGTGATTGGAGCGTTTGC